TGTTTATAAATCTTCTTCATCTACCTCTATTTAACTTTGCATATCTATTCTTTCTTTCTTTCATTTCCTCTGAACATATTTGTTAGTTTTGTTTCATTGCTGTTCTGCCCGATGACCGAATCCCAGAGCGGGAAGAGAGAAGTTCCAAGGCAATGCAATTTACAAAAAGGGAAGTTTTATTACTGACTCAAGTCAGGGCCTTCTGCTGCAACCAACACAGTGGTGCAAGGTCAGAAAAGCCCTGAGCAGAGGCGGTTACCCAAATTTATAAGGTATGCATAAGTGGTTAGTAGCTGGCTTAAGCGGATTGGTTACATGTTTGCAAAGCAATTTTATTGGTACAAACTTTCACGGGCTTTTGTTTAAACTTAGGCATCCGCGGGCTTTTTAGCTTTCCCTTTGTTTCTTACTGGGCGCATATTGATTGGCTGGCTCCAGGTTACCTGATGGGGGCGGGGAATCCCACCATTTCACGAGAAACCAAAACCCAGGTCCCGGCCGCCTGCTAGCCCCGGCAGCCCCACATTCCCCCCTGTCTTTGTTTCTATGGAAGGCCCAATCATGGGTCTCTTATATCATCTGGGGGGACAGTCGAATATTGAGATCTGAGTAATATTAGGTGGACGGACAGGCAGTGTGTTTTTCTTAACAACTCTCTCTTGAGAGACTTCATCTTCAAGATGTTTTTTGGGATTTGGGGCGGAAGTCTCTTTCTTCTGTAACTTCTTCCTGCTGTGCCTGGGCGTAGGCCTGCCTAGCAGAGCAGAAGTCTCTCTCTACCTGATCTAAGTTGGGGTGTTCTATATCTGAAACCAGCTTTTACTCTTATAATAACAGCAACTTAGTTTGAAACTGTCGGCACCTCTCAGAGGTAAAATAGACAGGGGCCAAACAGGAGACATAACAGGATGGTCATCACTGGTCCCCAGAAACAGAAGGCACTGCTGGGATGATTGGCTCATGGTCAAGCAACAGAGCTGTGTTTTAGGAATCTTATGTTTAGTCTGAAGTTGCCCTCTTCCACCTGGGGGCTCCAGTTCTGTAGAAGAACTCAAAAGACATTGTTATGTATATATATATAATTTTTTAGAAGAATCGGCCTGAAGCCCAGTCTGGACCTGGCACTCCAGGGAGACTTGTAGCCAGGTGGCCAGTTGTCTAGTTTTATAAAAAGTCAGGTAGAAGTTATTAGCTTTTAGCAGACATTGTTTTGAGAATGGTGGCATCTAAGCCTGCATGACTCAGAAAACTCAAGTGTTTAGCAATACAATGTCTAATCTGAAATTACACCCATAGTAACATCTGTTTGTCTTTCAGGATGTCTGAACCATAGCTGAGTACTCTATTTTGACTTTTAATTGTAAAAAATTTTTTAATAGCCAAAGCAGATGGCACCATTAATGATGTCAGTGTTTCTCTAGGTATGAGAAGATGCAAGAATTGGGACTCATAAAATCTCTTGAAAAGATCTAACTATCTGAAGGCCTGTTTTGCCAGTTTTTCCCAGAGCACGGAACACCTAATTCTGGATCTTCACCCTGAACTCCTTTCAGGGCCGTTGAAAGTCAGCAGTTGCAGTGGCCATGATATAATCTCCGTAGATGTAGATGGCAAGTGTCAATCTTCAGTTGGCAGAGCCCCTTTCTGCTCACAAACTTGACCACGACTTTGAGGGGGGCATTTCATGACCATTTTATCCCATGGTGCTGAGAATGTCCTTTTTTCAGGTTTGGCAAAGATTTTGTCGACCGGCCTCTCAATGTGCAGTTACTGGACTAGGCCATAAAACAGTATCTAAAATTCTCTGGACCACCTGTCTTACTAGCCTCTTGGTCCAGGAAAACATTCCCTCTTGTTGCTTCTTCTCATATCTAGAGTTACATTGTCATTGTTATCGATCTCATAGGGAACTATATATCATTTTATCAGAGGCCTCAGTCACACATTTGGCACTGTAAGAAATAGCAATTTTGTAAAACAGGTGAAATACAAAGAACATAGCCAGCAGTATTAGTAAAGTCACAAGTAAGACCTAACAGCTTTCATTAGATGTAGCCCAGTATATCCCAGGTCATCTGACAGTCTACTCTGTACGAATCTTAATCTTTCAGGGAAATTATACATTGGCACCACCATCTATAAGGCACACAGCCCAGTTTTCTAGTGTTACTAGACTGATTATCTTTAGTATGATTTAACTGTTTTTTAACACAGAGGAGACTTTAAACCTAAATTACCATAGCCTGGTGTTATCTATATAAATCTATCTCATAATTGTGGGAGATTTTTTTTTTTTTAACTTTTGTTGCTGATTGTGCTTGAGGAATAGAAAAAGACTCAAATTTATGGCTAGAGTCAGAGTAGGCATTATTAATTGGCCCAGTGAGGGGAGCCCATCTGGTAGTATCATAATAACCTGAATATGACTATAATTTTCTTAAGTAAATTTCCTCAGGGCCAACAAGTTAGTCTTGTAGTAGAGAAACTTACCAAGGTAACCCAGAGCTAGACACAGATAATTGGCCACAAACCCAACAATTGGATTGATTTTTAAAACCAGCATAGTATCAAGCCTATGATAGAAAAGCATTTGATTTATATGTAAAGGTCTAAGTCAAGAGAACACTATAAACGATCATACGAATCAGGTCCAGCATCTTGAACAGTCTGTCTACCTCTGATGTCGTTGTCTTCTCATCCTGGTTTAGTGTAGTTTCTCTCGTTTGAGCATCATTTTAAGGTGAGATCAGGTTAGCGGTCTTCTCTATAGACTAATCCAGTAGGGGCCTTTGGAAGTGGGAATTAATCTAAGAGTTAATTTCCCCTAAGTTTCATTGTGCATGAGCTAATTAAGAGTACCTGATAAAAAGTCCTTCCATCCAGGTTGGAGACAGTCCCTTAAATTATGTCTTTTTCCAGTCCTGTTTGCAGGTCATGAGGCATCTGATCTTCATCCAAAGATAGATTACTGTGATAAGCTTCAGAAACAAACTTTTACATTAATATCACATAACAGAATTGATCATAGACTTATTTTGCTGAAACACTTATAGGATCTCAGACTGAACTTTTAATATAAAACAGGGCTGGGAAACACACCAAAGGCTTATCACAGATTTTGCCTAACAAATCTAGGTGAACTCCTTTTTTTTTTTCTTTTTTTTTTTTTTTTAAGGTCTCAAAAATTCTTTGAGATTTTTGTACCTGTTAGTGAGATAACCTTTTTAGCTCATTTGATAAACTTATTGGAAACTTAAGAGTTTCAAATTCTGGAGGAGTCAGATAGAGAGAAAATATAATTGTTTTGTTTATAACGTGTAATTTTACCAACTTATTTTATAATTAGTTTAAGAGGAAAGTTTTTTTTTTTACTCCCGGAAAACACGATTTAAGCCTGTAATTTCTCAGATAGAAACCATAAAAGTTATACGCATATTCGCTGGTTCATTCAGTCCTTTGTTAACTTTTGTGAAGTCATCAGGTTTTTTTTTTTAATCATAATACCAAGACATATCAAAATGTTAAGAACTCTATATAATTTCTAGGATATCTGTATTAGTAATTTTTTATACATTATAACGAGCAGATTTATTACTCATTTGATAATCTTTTTTATGTAATTTAACCAACCAAATAAACAGTTTAGTATCTCTCTTTGAGATGTTTCAGGGGCCCTCTGAAACACCCCAAAGTTAGCTAGATGTCAAAGGAACTTTAAAAGAATTCGATTCAGGAAGTTTTATCAAAAAGATCAATTAAAAGCTTTAGAACATTTGGTCAGATTTAGTCAGTGTTGATGGGTGTATCATTTAGCTTGTTGATATGTCACAATGGGTGCAAATACCAAGGCTCAAGGTCGAGTGAAAGTCAGCTCTGCCATCTTGGACCTAATTGGGTCTAACCAGTTTTCTTATTGACTGTCATTCCTAACAAAATCCATTTATCTAACTAATTGTAATCCAATTTTAGAAAATCCTGATCATGCATAACTCTTTTTAGTATTTTTTATACTTTTTTTTTTTTACTGAAAGCACACTTTTTGCTTTTCTTTAGCAACCAAGAGCTAACTTTTATATTAGCATTTTATAGATTGGTGAGCATAAATACTAGTGATAATTTTTAAAACCCTTGCTTTCTTAAAACATTTTAGGATGGCATCAAACATTATTCATTTATAGTCCCAAATCTCTTTAGTTTTTCTGTAAAAGGAAATCAGTGTTTAGTAGTAAATGTTTCAAAGTCTTATTTCATTTGGAAATGACCTAATTATTTAATAGACTTTCAATACTTAGTTTAGCACAACCCTTAGAAATTCCATTTACACCAATCTGGAGAGACTATTTTAAACAGATATTCTTAAAGAATAATTATTTTTAATAGAGTTTATATACAAACTCATACCTCATTTATACCTTTTAGAACTTTTTTTACTCAAGGTAATTTCTTTGTCGACAAGCCTGTAACAGGCATATGATTTAACTTATATTAAACCTAGGTACAATGAAAATATTTTACTTGATGTTAATTACTCTAAGACATGTCTATATTAGATAGGTCAACAAATAAACATTAATATCAGGTATTTAATACTGACTATTTCCCAGTTCACCTGAACCTGTAATTTATTGTTTAATTTAGAATTATTTGATTTGTAAGCGCTTACCCCTTCTTAAGCCAATTAAATAGAGCTCATTTACAAATTAACCTAAAACTATTTTTCAGAGATAAGGACATACCAAAACATATTTAGACAGACACAGTGCAAGATCTGTCTTCATTTTCTAAGTTTGCTCATGAATTTAGATATTACAATATAAAATTTAAATGAATAACATTTTTAAAGATTTCAAAAGGAGGAGGACCAGAGACAACGCCGGCATACACAAACATGGAGAGCCGAAGGCAGACACACAGACAGACATACGTCGGCAGATAACATAGCGCTGGGTTTCGGGCCCCCTGAATATTTTTGCCTCCAGGTAGCAGGTTCACCTTACCGAATGGCGTCCACTGTTCACCAGACTTGGGGTAACTTTCTTTCCCGCAGAATCGGCTGCCTCCCAGCGCGTCCGCTGGCCTCGGCCTTACGCCGGCTGGAACGTTTAATCCGTTCCCCCCTTTATACAAAGCCTTCCCGCAGAGTCGGCTGCCTCCCAGCGCGTCCGCTGGCCTCGGCCTTACGCCGGCTGGAACGTTTAATAGAAATCTTTCTTCTGCACCAGATACCTTCCTGCTTCCCAGCAGGGCCTTGGATTTACACTGGACTTTCCTGTCTGTCTGAGCACCGGTGTTTTTATCTATCCTTCCCCTCTGTCTTGGAAGTGTTCTCTTTCCCCAGTCAAGGGATCCCGGACGAGCCCCCAAATGTTCTGCCCGATGTCCGAATCCCAGAGCGGGAAGAGAGAAGTTCCAAGGCAATGCAATTTACAAAAAGGGAAGTTTTATTACTGACTCGAGTCAGGGCCTTCTGCTGCAACCAACACAGTGGTGCAAGGTCAGAAAAGCCCTGAGCAGAGGCGGTTACCCAAATTTATAAGGTATGCATAAGTGGTTAGTAGCTGGCTTAAGCGGATTGGTTACATGTTTGCAAAGCAATTTTATTGGTACAAACTTTCACGGGCTTTTGTTTAAACTTAGGCATCCGCGGGCTTTTTAGCTCTCCCTTTGTTTCTTACTGGGCGCATATTGATTGGCTGGCTCCAGGTTACCTGATGGGGGCGGGGAGTCCCACCATTTCAAGAGAAACCAAAACCCAGGTCCCGGCCGCCTGCTAGCCCCGGCAGCCCCACAATTGCCTTCTTCCCCATTTGGCACCTTGCTTTAGTTTTGTTTTCCAGCTTGTATTTTAGTTAGTTTTGTTTTAAACGGGTAAATAAAATTTTTAATTTCCTTTGTTTGCCAGGTCAATTTGCTGTACTTTATATTTGTTGGACTGTTTTGGCTTTGCTCATGGGTGTATATGGTTATGTGTATATTCCACTATTTTAATTATTATTTGCCTGAATTTGTAATGGCCGTTTGTCTGGGATTTATCTTTGGTTGTTCATTTTTGGATATTTGTTTTAATCTCACTTAATGCCATAACAAACGACTTGTGGAATCTTCATTCCTGACCAGAGATCAAGCCCTGAGCCTTTGGAGTGGGGGCACTGACTCCAAGACCCTAGACAACCAGAAAACTAAACCTAAGGATTATCAAATAGTGAGAACTCACACAAAGGAAACCGCTTGAACACAACACCCAGCATCACCCAACCACCAGCAGCACCCTGTGTGGCACACCTCATCTAAATAACAAACAAAACAAAAATTCAAAGCCAATCATCAGCAGACAGGATTACCACCTCACTCAGCTTTGCCCATAAGAGGAAAAACAAACAGACAAACAAAAACTCAGCACAAATCGCACCCTCTACAAAGCTTACACAAACCCCTGGGCCAACCTTGAAAGTGAAGTCGCTCAGTCATGTCTGACTCTTTGCGACCCGATGGACTGTAGCCCACCAGGCTCCTCTATCCATGGGATTTCCCAGACAAGAATCCTGGAGTGGACTGCTGTTTCCTTCTCCAGGGGATCTTCCCAACCCAGGGATCAAGCCCGGGTCTCCTGCATTGCAGACAGACGCTTTACCGTCTAATGTTACTCACTTTACTAAACACATGAACAAGATGATGCAGGCTATGGATTCTCCTGAAGCCTCAGTCACCTCACTCTGGGAAACGTTAACTAGCTTCCCATGTTGGAAATCTATCTTAATTGGAATCATTCCAATTGATGTGCTTTCACTGTTTTCTCTCTGCATCTGTGACTGTGTAACTGGGCTTGTTTCTAACCATCTGAAAGTTTTAAAGTGACAAACAGCTGTCCAGGCTCCTCCACGTGCCACAGCCTCTTCCAATCGTTACTTGGGGGCCCTGGATCAGAGACCCTCAATCTGAGGGTTAGGAGCATATGTCACCTCAACAATTTAGAGACAGCGTGCCATCACAGCAGGAAGTAGTTATGGAATGAAAATGGCATCCCTTTCCTTTGGGAACATAATTCTCCTAAAAGAAAAGCAGGGAATGAGAGTCAATTCCTAGGCAGGTTGATAAGAAGTCCGGGGTCCCCAAGGAGGAGAGAGGGGTCTGGAGTTTTCAAAGAGGAGAAAAGGACAAACACATTTTTTTCTCTACATTCCTTAGTCTTAGCCACCTAAAACGTTTTTGTTTTTCTTTTTTCTTTAAGCCTGGAACTGATGATTACACAACAAACAACTCAGTTTAAACTCTGTACTAAGGATTATATAACAACAATGTATCCTGCTTGAGGACATGTTTATCCTTCCTGAAAACATTCTGACTAATCCTGTTATCTTAAAATGTATATTATGGGAGTGGGTCTAGTAAGATCTTTACAACCTTGAGACATTCTTTTGATTTACTGTACTAACCAATTGATAAGATTATATAGCTCCCTTGCTGAGACTAGTGAGGGGGACACTCTCCACCCCTTTCTGATGTCAATGTCAGAAGTTTTCCCTGTCCCTTTCCACTTTAGAACTCTGCTATACAAAAGTTCTTGAGTGACCAAGCCTGTCCCTGGTCCCGCAGCTAAATCTTCTTCAGAGATCACGAATCCGACACCATTCACCGCAAGCTATCACAGTCACTGCTTTATCATTTCTGAGGACCCAGTGCTGACTCCAAGGGTTCTGTAAGCTGGCCTCCATCTGCCTTTAGTGAGACCCACACTTCTAGGATCCTACAGAGCAGGGTCTGTGTGGCTGCTCTGTGGCTTCTCTAACAAAGGACCCCAAGCTGGGTGGTTTAAAACATCAGGAGTTCATCCTCCCACAGTCCTGCAAGCCAGATGTCTGAGATCAAGCTGCTGTGGCCCCCCAGGGGCTCCAGGATGGGGTTCTTCCTGCCTTTTCTAGCTTTGGGAATTCCAGGAGGCCCTGGGCTCGTGGCCCCCTCCCTCCCATCTCTGCCATCCTCATCATGCAGCTTGTCCTCTGTATCTGTGTCTATCTTCTTTTTTCTCTTACAAGGAACCTGCTAATTGGATTGAGGGCCACCCACACCCAAGATGGCCTCACCTCCACTTCTTTAAATGCATCTCCAAAGACCCTATTCCCAGATACAGTCTTGTTCACATGTTCTGGGGGGACACATCTTTTGGGGCCACCGTTCAACCCACTGAAAGTGAAAATCGCTCAGTCGTGCCTGACTCTGTGCAACCCCTTGTGCTATAGCCTTCCAGGCTCCTCTATCCATGGAATTATCCAGGCCAGAGTACTGGAGTGTGTAGCCATTCCCTTCTCCAGGGGATCTTCCCAACCCAGGGATCAAACCCAGGTCTCCTGCATTGCAGGCGGATTCTTTACCATCTGAGCCACCAGGAAAGTGCATTATCTGTGTATAAAATCATGTTCATTTTAGGAGAGTACCAAGGTCCCATATAGACGGGCACAGACAGCAGCCGTGTGGGTGGGAGTCTGGGGAGAATGAGGACCGTGGAATCGCCTAGAAAGGATCAAGGCCTGGCTTCATCAGAAGGTGAGCTTTTCCACCATGGGGGCCATGAGAATAGTCATTCCATCCTATCCATGAAAAGGGGCCCAGTGTCAAGTCCAGAAGTGTCTGCCTTGCAAAGCTGGCTCATCTGGATATCATCAATACCACGATGTAACGAGTAACCACAGGATTAGGGGTAGAGGAGAATTATTGTGGGGACTGGCCGTGGACTCTGGAGGAAGTGCTGACAGTCACTGGGGCACAAGAAAGTGGGAGCCTGGGAGGCCTCCGTGTTACTGAACCAAACTTGGGTCCACACATCAGAGTTCAGTAAAGCCAGTCTACTGATGCCAGGTTGTGGTGAAGGAAAGTGAAGCAATAACTACAAAAGTACCAATACTTCGGGGTTGTGCTCTCAACCCCGAACTCCCTGGAGGGTTTTAGCAAAGCAATTGTAGAGGCCATGTGCGGGAGGAGGTCACAGAGTATGTGATCCGCTGGTGCACGGTTCTCTGGTGGGTGAGGTAACAGGTGGCTAACCTCACAAATCCTCAGGCACTGGAAGCTCTGGGGATTAGGTGTTCAGCTTATCAAGTAGTTAAGTTCTTTCATTTAGGGGGGCTTTAGCATCTGTAAAACAACTCAGGGAGTGTTCATCAGATACTATTATCTCCATACTTCAGAGAGGAGCTACAGCAGAGGAAGGGACGACAGGGTCTGTCCTGGGAAGGCCCCATAGACTCCTGCTTGGTTACCCCCAGGTGTCTGGGATCAGCAACCTGGGAAGGTGGGGTTACCTCCTGGGTATGGGGAGCAACAGGATTGCAGTCCTCCAAGGGGCCTGTTAGCCCCAGGGTGAGATGGGGAGGCAGTGGATGGACAGATGCATCTGGCCTGTGAGAGTGGTCCAGACTGGAAATGATGCTGCTGGTGGAAATTTCTCACCAGGAGAAAGGCCAGGAGGGAGCAAGTGGGTCACAGCCAAACCCATGCAGGTGATGATGGTTTTTGAAAGAAACTCAGAACCAGAAAGCCTGGCCCTCAGAGGCCCAGCTTCATTCTCTTGTTCCTTTGTAAAACACAGTGTCAGAGTTTGAGATGCCATCAGGAGACTTTTGAGCCCAGTGCTGCTGTGGCTTCGTCAAAGGGGCCCAGGCCCTGCCCACATGCCCACTGGGGATGAAGCCCATCAGGGCACTGGGGTCCGCAGGCTTCAGGGAACCCTTTGCCCTCAGGACTGGTCTCCCTTCTTCCAACCTGCTGCTGGCCAGAGGCCCACATTCTCCCATCCTGATTCCACCCCCAGAGCCTGAGGAGTAGTCCAGTGTATAGATGGACCACTCAGTCTTCATGTTCCTGTCGCTGGACATTTTGGTGGACTCTATGTCTCGGCTATTGTAAATAGTCCTTCCCTGCAAACAGGGGTGCACGTGTCATTTCAAATTGTGATGTTCTCCAGATCTGAGCCAAGAAGTGGGGTTGCTGGACCCCACGGCTCCCCTGTTTGCTTTTTTCAGGAAGCTCTGTGCTGTTTGCCGTGTGGCTGCGCCCTTGCACATCCCCACTCAGAGCGCAGGAGGATCCCGTTTTCCCTGCGTCCTCTGCAGCACTTACTCTTAGGAGATCTTTCTGACAATGGACATCCTGACCGGTGGCAGAGGATTCCTCAGTGTAGATTTGATTCGCATTTATTGAATAATGAGTGGGTCTTCCCTGGTGTGGCTCAGCAGTAAAGGATCTGCCTGCAATGCAGGAGATGCAAGAGATGCAGGTTCGATCCCTGAGTCAGAAAGATCCCCTGGAGAAGGCCAGTATTCTTTCCTGGAAAATTCCATGGACAGAGGAGACTAGCCGGCTACAGTCCATGGGGTTGCAAAACGTCAGACATGCCTGAGCAACCGAGCACAGTGATGAGTGACGGGAGGTGTCTTTCCAGGCTCTTGATTCATGTATAGGTAGACATATACATGTTCTTTTCAGGTTATTTTCCCATAGAAGTTATTACTTACAT